TTTTTACCTGGATTACTGAGATGCATCAGGACATATTTTAAAAAAATTACAAAACTTAATAGCCAACAGTATTTTTACAGTCTTTATTTTACAGTTAAAGTACATGTTTATCATATAAAGTCTAATGTTACAACTAATCGGGGATCCCTTTAAAGGTATGAAAATAACTTTTTCAATTTTAAAAAAAGATATTTAGGAAGTGAAATCATCATTTTGAATTTGTTTATCTCCATGTGGAAAAGCTTCAAAATCAGCTTAAAGGCATAAAGATTTATAACCTTTTTCATGAACTTATATTTATTTACTTTTTAGATTAGTGCTAAGACGACAGCATTCCATTTTGTCTTGGTTCTGCTTGGACTCGCCATTGGCTCGTTAGTTCTGTTAGAATCAAATCTTCAAATTGAGGCTGTTCAGAGCGCWATCTACATCAGGTAAGATATTCATTACCCTTTTTCAAATTTTATTCATTTAATGAAGTCTAAAAGTTTAGTTTTTTAAAAAATGCCTCTGTTATTTTCTTTTTAACTTATAACATTAGAAAATGTACAAATTTATATTTTACAAACCAAGAATGTTCAGCAAATAATTAGAAATGTTTTGTTCTTATTAAAACAGCCGAATGAGTCTTATCCAAAGGCTTTATTTTTTCTGTCAGGGTCAACTTTCTGCTGATTTAAGAGGAGAAGATTCAGGCCTGAGGTCAAAGTGAATCGCCTCCAGCTCAGATGAGACAACCGAGCCAGACTGGAGATGTTCTTGCCCTGACATCAATCAGTGGGGACACGTTTTCTTAGAGGATGCGCCGTTTTTGAGCTTTGCAAGGCGCAGGAATGCAGCCGAATCTTCGTTGTTGGTGGTTGTAGTTGCTGCAGCAACCTGGTTTGAACTCGCTGTGCATCACTAAGAAAACCTTGGTTTCACGGAAGGGATTGTGGCTTTCGGAGCACCGGGTTTCAAAAGAGTTKAGCTTTTCTTCTTCTTCTTCGTCTTCTTCTGTTTCTCTGTGCAGGCGTTCCCAGTGAGGCTTGATTTACCGTGCAGAGGAATTATGGGAAAGAAGGCCTTGCCAGCCACCGTCTCCATGATGCTGTTGCTGTATGAATCCAGCAGATGGAGACGATTTGTCTTCTTGAGGGCAAGCTTTGACGTGTGTGGCTCTTGATATGCATTGTCGCCTGCTCGGAGATCAAAACTTTGATGGGGGAAAAGATCCTTGAGAGTTTCAAATTCCCTGTTTGCACGCAGGAGGAGAAATAAAGCCAGAAGAGCATCTGTCAGCAGCTCAGCCTTGCAGACCGCTCTGTGGTCGGCTGCGAGGTCTCTGTGACCTGTTCCTGTCAGTGTTCTAGGCCTCACTGCTGGCTCTGGCCTTATCCAGCACAAGGAGAACACAATACTTAAATCATTCATAATTAGCTCCTTCCCTCTGCTTAATAACACATGGAGATAAATGGCTTCCAAGAAGTTTCCAAATGAAAATAGTTGGTTTGGAATTAGGAGCAAGAAAAGTGCCTTAGAGTCGTGTGTTGTAGTTCACTCTGTTCCTCTTGAGGAAAAAAAGACAGCTTTAAAGGACACKTCATGAAAATAGATATTTATTTTATGTTACATCTTCACGATATAGTACATGGAAATAAATGACAACTATGGTGAGATTTGTTTCCCCTGATCTCTGCACAGGTTCTGACACGGGGCTCCTAACACGAGCCGAGCTTCTCCAGAGCGCCGTGAAGGGTCTTCAGGTCCTCTCTCATCTGGCTCAGAGCATTTTGGATCTTGCCAGGCTGGTCCAGAACCTCAACGCTGCTGGTTARAGGGTCGTAGCGCACGGCGAACGAGCGCTTGATGTTGGCAGAGTACTTCCTGTTAAGAGAAGGGACAAGTTTAAAGCGGAAAATGATCAGCGTTTGCAAAGATTTCTGGGTAAGTCATGGCATGGTTGTTTGGCAAAACCTTAAACTTTGGTTATGGCTCAAAATTTGGAGCAAAGGCTTTTTAAAACTTTTTATATCCAACAACAAACGGAGTCTAATGCAGTCCAAGAGAATGTTTGCCATGGTGACAAGAATGAGCCACAATCAAAGACTGATTTGCTACCTTAGCTTCATCTTTGCGTCCTCGAAGCTTTCAGACACAAAGTAAACCGGYTGGTAAGTCTGGTCCTGGTAGGGCTGCACTGCTGTCTCCTCCGGGTCGAACGCCTTGTACTCCGGCTCGTTTGACATTGCGTACTGGGAGGGGAAAGCGGAGAGMGTCTCAGCGCACAAACACCGAGCAAACAACACAAACCTCGACGAGACGAGACGACACTCACAACGAGCTCTCCGTATGACGAGAGGAGTCCGGCGCCGTAGGCTTTCACCTCTCCGTTCTGCTTGCAGAGGCCAAACTCCACGGTGAACCAGTACAACTGAGGAAGAGAAGCAGAAGTGATGGATGAGCTGCAGTTCAAAACTTCAGCCACTAGATGTCACCGAATGACCAGGCCATGCTTACCGTGGAAAGTTTCTCTATGTCCKCATCTGAAGCTCCAAGTGAGGCGAGTCCAATCTCCTGGTGACGCACAGACGTGTTAAAGGTGATGGAAGCAGATAAAAAAAAAAAACAAGAAAAAATTAAAAAGATGGTGCACTCACCTGAGAAAACTGCGCAAACTCTTTATCGGTCAGCATGGGGATGTGTCCGAGCAGCTCGTGACAGCAGTCTCTGTCGGGGCAGATTGAACCAAGTCAGGGCAAAACTCAAAATGAGTAAACGAGGAGGCGCAGGGTGGGCGACTCACGGCTCAGGGGAGTGCATGGGCGAGGACGAGTGTCGGATGTACTGGGTGCACTGGAACACCCTGAAGGCCAAGCTGGCCAGGAAGTCTCTGGCTGACAGCAGGCCTGCAACTGGACGCAGCTGGAAACCAGTTTTCTCTGAACCCCCAAGAGAAAGTAGAYCCAATGAGACATAAGTACACCTCAATGAAATCAGTGTTTCAGACTTATATTTGATTAATTTTAAATGAAACATTGCAATTTTTTTATGTGATCATAAATTTGGATTTATTTGCATCTTTGGATTGTTTGTCAGACATGTTGATAATAAGAATAAAACTTTCTGGTCTGATTTCTTTCGGTTTCATTGTTTTCTTTTTTCCCCACTAGATGTCCTCRCTCTTCTCCTGCCTCCACTTGATAACCACCTTTAATTTGCTTTGTTTAAAACTTCATGAAATTCCATTTAGTTTAATTTTTTTTTATTCCTCAACCTGCATTTGAGTACTTCCATCTTAACTTGGAGCAAATTCTTGACATACTGTATATTTGGTTAATTTAGTGACAAAAAGCCAAAATTACCAATTGATACAGAACAATAATTTCTAATTGTTACATATTGTTATTTTTTTTTATATTACCAAGTCTGAAATCCCAGCTTTTTTAAATGTTTGAAATGTTTACCTTAGAAACATTGAATTATTTAACTTTTGTGTTAATCTTTATAGAAAACTCTATTCTTTTGTTGAAAAAGAAACCAAAATGCCTTTTTTTTTACTTCAAGCTCCTTAATATTATGTTTTTTTCCTCCATATTGCTAAAAAAAATTAATTATTTCAAAGTTTTGCATTGGTATACTCACAGGTGAGTATTAAAATCTTGGTATTTAATTCCACTTTTTGTTCATTTAAATGAAATAACTCGATTTTATTGCTTCTTTTTAATCCAAATCTCTTATTTTTGACAGGACAGCTCAACCCTTGATGTGCTTTAACCATAAAAGCTGAGAGTTTAGCCACCTTTCAGGAAGGCTGAGACGTCTCTGAGCTGAGGGATTTGATCCGGTCCGTATCCACACTCGTCCTCCAGCTGCTGCAGGCCGTCTAAGAACTGCCTGCAGGCCAGGGTTTGATAAACGCTCCTCAGCTGCTGGTAAACCTGCCTCCTGTAAACACAGTCGCAGCTAAGCATCACCACTTCTTTCAGGGTCTCACCTCATCAGCACCTGTATGAGGTTGCTCTCACCATGTAGAGGTTTCCTCTGCGGTGTAGTCAATCTGCGGCAGCGGGTCGCCTCTTTCACCAGAACAGAAAAGAAAACTTAATGAAAAATGTGTTGTTTTCTTGTGAATGTTTGGAAATTACATAAAAGTAGAGCTCACTGTTTGTGTCTGAAGGCGAGCTCGGAGATGGCAGCTCGTCTTTTTCTGTATTCTGAATCATTGTACCCCTGCAAAGAAAAAAAAAACAAGTTAACTTGTTGAAAATAAGTGTCTTTTTTTTCTAATGAATATTATTTTTATTTTGCATTAGATACCCACGGGATGATCGTGGTCCAGGTCCGGATCAAATTTGGTAATGAGGAGGTTACATCTGTCAAGGTCTTTGATCTGTCGAGGAAACCAGGCAGCTGCGGAGCAGACAGAGCTTCATTTTCACATTCTGACCGTAAACAGAGTGAAACCACAATAAAATCCAGTTCGTACCTTTTTCCTCCGGCACACAGCGAACATCGCCCACCACCCTCTTCAGAGAGTTGATGAACACGTCCAGATCGGAGCGATGGACCTCACACCTCATGAAGAACTCCAGGTCAGGCAGGTCCAGCTTGGACTTCTTCCTCATCCGGCTCTCGACATGAARGAGTTTGGCTTCAAACGTCTGATGAAAGATAAGTTTTTCCATTTAACATAAACTTCTGCCTCCATACTGTCCAAAATATAGATTTAATTAAAAGACGATATTTTAAATAATCACAGTTTAGAATGACTTTGTTTTTAAATTCAACACAATTTCATTCAAAAATTCATCCTGTTTTAACACAATCAACAGATGCATTTTAGCATTATTTTACGTGAAACAAAAATAAATCTAAAATGCAACTGTTTAATACAAGCAGTAAAACGATCTTTCCCACCCCAGTTATTAAAAGTTTTGGAAATAACATATTTAAAAACTGAGTAATATACAAAGAATTAGGTCTGTTTTTGTTTAAATATGTTACTTTTTTTGTACAATGTGTTAAAATCACTGATTTTGTTGAAGCTTTACAGATGATAGTTTCACATAATCTGTTGGATTCCTGGCACAGATATTTCACAAACTGCTAATTATAATTTAATTGGATTTTAATTAAACGTAAATTACTCTAAACCTGAGTTGACTTTACTTAATGAGTTTTCTAAAAAAAAATGCATCATTTTCATGTTACAGGTTTACACATGAAACAAGAAAATATTGAGTATTGAWCAGTAATTATCCAAAATTAGCTGTAATTTTAACCAGGATGCAGATCAAACATAAAAAAGTAAATAATATGTAAAACTAATTTTTGACTCCTTACCTCCAGTATTTTCCCCGTTTGAAAGAATCCRCAGTTCTTCTCATTGCTGAGCGTGAACAGGACGTTTATAGTGACTTTGCCATCTTTGTCCTCAAACACGAAGCCGTCTCCGAACTTGGAGGGCCCCGGGGAGCCCGCGGAGCTGCTCCCGCGCTCGCGGCGCGCATCCTCGATCAGACTCTGCTTCCTGCTGCTGAACGTCTTCATGTCTCTGCTGGAGGGCTGCTGGCTCAGGTTTGTGTGCCCTCATCCTCGGTGCGTTTAAATAACCCCAGCTGGGCTGAGTGGACAGGAGGTGCGCAGGTGCGGCACACAACTTTGTTTTTGTTTTTTTGGGGGGGTGGACCAGTTGTGCGTCATGGTTTGATTTCCATATTTTATTTATAGCTGTGTTCTGATCTTTTGAAGTGGGKTTCTAGAAAAAGTTCTAAACATTAACATCTTACCTGCTGTMGAAGACTTTTTGAATGAGCTCCRTTTAGAGAAATAAAACTAATTTCGACCAGATTAACAAACTAATGGCTAGTCYRAGTGGATTTTTTAAAGCAGAATTCATAATCAAGTAAAAGGAAACTCATGCTTGTTATTGTCTTTATTTATTTTTCCTCTAAACATTTAAAATCAGGATATATGGTTGTTTTTTTTTTGCTAATCCAAGATTGTCTATTTGACAGATRCAGACTCTGACAAGTTTTATWWTGCATATTTTTAACATCRTATTCATACAAACTAGTTASAGTTTTTGACAACAATATGAGGGCCAATTTAATTTTAAAAGGGGCCATATGTAGCCCGGGGACCACTAGTTGGATAGACATTGAAAAGAACCACTTGCCAAAACATAAAGCAGCTTACATGAATATAAGAAGAAAGCAACATAAATAGTTTTGAAAAACACATTTTCAAACAAAAGTTTCACATTGTTGTACAAAAATATTAGTGTTCAACTTTAAATCTAAAAGGATTTTTTCACGTTTTGTTTTAAGATTAA